TGGCACGCGATCATGCAGAGAGGATTCGTGTCAAAATCGGCTTTGAAGGATTGTTCTATGTTGATAATAATGGTTTATGTTAAGGAAAGAAATCACAGAAATCACATGTTAAGGAAAGAAATCACAGAAATCACATGTTAAGGAAAGAAATCACAAGTGTTGAATATTAGTAAAGTTGTCTTACTTTCCTATTCTTATTAGTAGTTTCCTAGACTAATTTAGTATCTAGTTTAGTATATATAGAGGTCCATAGAAGTATAAAATATACATCAAGAGAGACAATCTATTGTACTCTTTTAATATAATATATTCTCTTGTTCTTTGGTTCTCACATATCTTGCTTCCGCCTAACTGGCGGGTGGTGGATATTCTCCACCCGCCAGGTCTCTCAAATTCTGAATCTTAACATGGTATCAGAGCCCAGGTTGTTGATCGGGCACATTTGACATGGTATGTACGAGATCGGATATTGCTCATGCAGTGGGTGTTAGCAATTTCTCTCAAATCTATGGAGAGGACATTGGGATGCTGTGAAGTGGTTCTGAGATATCTTAAAGGTACTTCAAGTCTGAGTTTGTCTTTTGGTACATGGAAACATAGTGTTACCGGGTACGTACACTAATTCAGATATGGAAGGAAACATTGATACGGGAAATCTACTTCAAGCTATCGGATTACCTATGCAGGGGGAGCAATGGTTTGTTGTTGTATCGCTGGGATGGCGATATCTTCCAAAGAAAGAAAAATCGCGTGGCTTGGACTGGACGCGGAGTTGGTCCGTGGTCTAAGTACGGGGCTTTGGAAAGCTCGGGTTGCGACGAGCTTGGATCCCAACGCTTGTCGGTGCGGCAAGGGCGCTGGTTAGGCGGACCAGTGCGGTGTGGCTAAGTGTTAGGCCGTGTGTGGACTCGGTTGTTGCCTTGTTGGTGCGACAAGGTGCGCTGCGGCTGTGTTGGAGCAGTGGGGGTCTGAGATGGTGCGGATTGGCGTTGGATGGTGCGTTGATTTGCGAGACGGCACGATGTGGTTCGGACTTGGGCGCATTGGTGCGAGTTAGCGGTGCGGTGAAGGTGCAACTGTGCCGTTGCGAGGAATGCGGTGCGCGAGCCAAATGGATTGGGCGCAACGCGAGATAGAGATGTCGGTGCGATGCGGCACGGGCGCGGTGCAAGGCGCGCAGCCTTGGCACGGACTTATGCGATGGAACGGGCGAACCCGCGGACAAGGTGTGAAGCTGCTGCGGACCGAGGGGCTGTAACGGTGCACATCTGGCTAGACCTTGGGGCGGTTGCGGAGTGGTTGTGCGGTTGAGATAGCAGTTCCACAAGCATGTGAGCTGCATGTGAGGCGGTTCTACAGCATGTGAGACTTTTGAGCTTGTTCAATGTGAATCAGTCCGGGGTGCTGCAGTGATGGGCAGCACGGATGCTAGGA